ACGGAAGGCTGTTGATAAGAGGGTTAGGGTTAGGGTTAGGGTTAGGGTTAGGTACAATGAAAGTAAGACTTTAGGTGGATGACCCTGGCAGAATCAGGGAGACCAGAGGCAGAAAGGCCAATTAGGAGGGCAGCTGTTACAGTATCTGGGGTGGGGAGGGAAGGACCCAGATCAGGGAAATAGCATCGAGAATGTGAAGGCAGGAAAATGGCTAGGACCTAGTCCTAGGAGGACTCACTCCCCTCTCCTCCACAGGGCAGTGAGAAAGTTCAGGCTCTGCAGAGACATGTTCCTGTGGCTCACTCTGGGCCACCTCGAGGAATCAAGTCCCCGCGGCCAAGCTTAGCAGCTCCTCCCTCAGCCTGACCTGGAGCCTCAGCCATCATGGAAAACAGACTCTGCAAACAACAGGTGTCTAGCTGGAATCACACTGGAGGGAGATAGTCTCCCTGTGGCTGTCAAAAGCACTGGCCTGTGACACTGCCCAATACAAGAACACCACGTTTAAAAAGATAGGAGGCCCACTCTTAGGTATACACCCAAAAGAACTGAAAGCAGGTGTTCAAACAAAAACTTATACACAAATGTTCATAGCAGCATTATTCACAATAGCCAAAAGGTGAAAACAACCCAAATGTTCATCAAAGGATGAATGGAAAAACAGAATGTGGTATATCTATACAATGGAATATTATTCAGTCAGAAAAAAAAGATGTACTGATTCATGCTACAACACAGATGAATCTTCAAAATGTTACGCTAAGTGAAAGAAGCTAGACACAAAAGGCCACGTATTGTATGATTCCATTTAGAAGAAATATCCAGAAAAGGTAAATCCATGTTATTGTTATCATGTGCCATTGAGCGGATTCAGACTCAGAGTGACTCTATATGACAGAGTAGAATGGCCCCATAGGGTTTCCTAGACTGCAGTTTTTACAGGAGCAGATCAACAGGTCTTTTCTCTGTTCTTTTCTGCTGGTGGGTTAGCAGCTGACTGCTAACCATTGCACCACCACGGCTCCTTGGTAAATCCACAGAGACAGATAACAGATTACTGGTTTCCAGGGGCTGGGGGAAAGAGAATGGAGAGTGACTACTCAATAGGGTGATGACAATGTTCTAGAACTAGATAGCAGTGATGGTTGCACAACATTGTGAATGTACTAAATGCCACTGAACTGTACACTTTAAAATGGTGAATTTTGTGTCACATGAATTTTACCACACACTCAAAGATGGAAGGTAGTCCATTCGACTCCCCATCTATGGGTGACCACTGAGGCTGAAGATTTCTCCCCAAAGGCTATCCTAGTGCCCTGCCCCTCAACACTTAGCACTGAGCAGGCAGGCACTCAGCCAAGAGCTGGGGAAGGAACAAAGTCTTTATTCTTTATATTTTTTTCCATGAAGCATGAACCCCCTGTTTCAGTCATCCCTTGCTGTGAATAGATACACATGTTTATTCATTCCCACCTCCAAGCCTTTGCTGTCTGTCCCTCCCCTTACTCTCCTGCTCACAACCTAGGACTCCCTTGCCATCTAGCCATTCCTACAGTTCCCTCCATGTCCAGCTCAAATCCTTCTCTGATCCCCCATCTTTGACCTCTGTCCACACATCTGGAATTTCAAAAACAGTTCAACCAAGCACTTGATTGCATTCTGTCCCTCTGGGACCCGAGGATGTTTCAGTCTTGCCTTTCCAAGTAGATCTTCAGTCTGTGAAAGTCCAGAGATGCTGGAGCCCGCAACCCTGAGCCAGGCACTTAGCAGCTCCTCAATAACTGCCTGTTGGTGCCTACAGCCTAGAGCTATACCACGGTCTCCCCCGGATACTTTTTGACCAATGCTGTTCAGACCCCAGTGGGAATCACCAGTGGGGGAGCGAGGTCAATGTGTCTGCAGGAAGAAGACCAAAGTCTACCACCCAACAGGTGATGAATGAGCCCCATTTCATGACAGCCTGACAGCCAGACCAGCCTTGGATCTCCAATCAGTCCCAGGGTCCCTATTATGGCAGGTCCCTTCCGGTTGTTTTAATTAAAATGGCACGGAATCAATTAAGAGTGCAATTATGGAAGGAGAGGAAAAATCAAGGCAGTTGCCCCAAACATACCCCAGCCCTCTGCCCCCAGAAAATTTCTGGATGGACATTGATAAGAATCACAGCTGAATTCTGGGTGGGTACAGAAGCAATCCTAGCAGAACTCTAGATGAACAGTCTTAGCATCACAGCCAATATCATGGTCAACACCAATACAATTAGAATAGAGTTCTGGATAATCCCGATATGTCAGAAAAGACCCCTAGGTCAATGCTGTTCCACTTAGAAGGGAATCTGGAGTGAACACTAAACAACTACAGAATGCGGTGATGACGTTGTTAAGGTGAGGGAGACGGGAACAGGTGCCTACAAGTCAGGCTGAGAAGGAGGATCAGTGGACCCTAGATGAAAGACAGAGGGTACCCATAGGTGGCCTTTGTGATCACGCACTGTCCCTTCATCTCAGGCTTGAAAGGAGTAGAATCAAAATTCCCATGGCCACCTCCAGTAGGTGTGTGGGTGGGGGCAAGGGAGAGCTGATCCTAGTAAATCAAGCCTGAAGGGAGACAGGCAGTGGGAGGCAAACTTCTAGGGGGAGAAGTTCTCCACCATTTACTATTATAGAAGAAGAGTTGATCTCTGCAAACCAGGGAAGCAGCATGAGAGGGCTTCCCCAGGGCAGAAAGGTGCGGAGTCAGTCAGTGAAGGGGGCCAGAGTGGAGATGGGGAGGTGGGAGGGCTTCAGACCCTCTCCTGCCACAGAGACTTCCAATCCCCACAATATCAAACATTAGATAAAAGGAGGTGCAATCCGTGAGGCCAATTCTGGCTTTCACAGGGTCAAGAATGGAGCAGGGCCTCCTCAGGGGGCAATCTGTGAGCATTAAAGGACAAAGTCAACTGGCTGGCCCCCAGCTAACACCTGCCCCTGAAGGACAGAACCTGGCTTTGCCACTTAACAGACCCGCCGATTAATCTGGGCAAATCACTATCCCCCTCCCTCATTCTTCTCACTTGTAAGGGAGGAGGCTGAAATGGATGATGTCCATGGGTTCCTCCATCATTAAGAATCTGTTTCTAACTCAGAAACAGCCAACAGCCTTCATACAGGCTAACAACTCATAGCTTATTTCTGCTTATAAAATTAATACTTGTTTATTGTAAAACATTTAGAAAAGAGCAAAATATAAAAAAGAAAAGGAAAAAAAAAAAACCTCATGTGATCCCATTGTCCAGAAAAAACATTATTAATCTTTTGGAAACTTGCAGGTTTGTTTGCTGGTTTTGTTTGTTTATTTTTGTTTTGCACTCACATCCTTTTAAACAAAATTGGGATCATAAAATCTAGAATATTTTGTATCCTTTTTTCACCATCATTAGGCTGTGAGCATTTTCCCAAGTCATCAAATATTCTTCAAAAACATCATGTTAATGACTGCATAATACTCTACCAGGAGGATGTAGCATGATTACTGGGCATTTAGGTTGTTTTTCTAGTATAAATAATACTACCATGAACACCCTAGCCTAGAGCATAAGTATTTGCCTGCATCTCCATTTTGTTAGAATCAATTCCTTGAAGTAGAATGACAAGGTCAATGAATGGTATTTTAAAAGGATCTTGCCATGTAGTGCCATATTCATTTCCAGAAAGACATAACAAACCCATTGATTTTCCTGAGCTGAACAAGAGCCGAAGTTCTGAAAGAGTTGGAGTTAGAATGCAGGACAGTGGTCTGTCTCTCCTTTACGCCGAGTCTTGAAGGTTAACTGTCCAGTGAAAAGTGGCCAGAATTACAAGTCAGAAGACATGAGTCTGCAGCCTAGGTCTGCCTCTTGCTGGCTTTGGGACCTGAAATAAGCCTTGGTTCTCCTCAACTGTAAAATGGGTATAATTAGCTCTGCTTTGTTGACTACCCAGAACGGTGTAAGTGGTCACATGAAAATGTGTTTGTGAAAGTTCTTTCTAAACTTGAATGCTTTATGTCAAAGGACACTGCTATTATCCTTCTCATAACCTGGGTGGGGGGTGGGGGAACATGACAAAATGAGTTGTTCTTTGTGAAAGTCCAAGGGCTTCCCTTCCTGGCCCTGTGATGATCTGCGAGATACCCTTAGCTATCAGAATGCCCAAGACAAGTGCCACTGGCTCTAATGGTGACAGAAAAGCAGCTTCCTGAAGGAATTAGTGGGTCTGAGGGCCTGGGAGACCCAGCGGTGTTTTCCAAAGGTCAGAGATAGCAATGGAAGCTACAAGGCCATGAGGCTGGGCCTAGGACCCCCAAAAGGGTGCTGGATGGGTAGGGGTACTTAGAGGGAAAAGATCTTTCTGGTAAATGTCTCTCTATTTCAAAGGACTCAGCTCCTCCTTTCTAGGGTTCCAACTGGACATCTGATCTTTGGGGAAATGGAAAATCAAGCTGATTTGGTGGATGCAAAAAGTCAACAACTGCAAAGGACCCCAGGGCCCATCAGCTCTGGTCCCTTCTCCGAGGTTGCTGTTCAGTCATTTCTGGATTCTTAAGACCCTCCAATTGGAAATGCAACTAGTGCTTCCAGCCTGACCTGTCCACCTGGACCTACCCATGAGAACCACAGCTGGCTGGCCTAGCATCCAGCCACACTCCCCTCTCCATCGAGCAAACGCCCTTTCTGCCCTTCCTTCTCCACCCCTGCATGCTAGCCTCGAATCATGCCCAGAGGGAACTCCAGTGACGTTCCCAGCGTTGGCAGGAAGAACTGCGCAGACCCCACGGACGCCATCCTCCCGGCTTCTTACCACTACACCAGCAGCCCCCCACCCTCAGTCCACCTCCGTGACCAGATGTGCATCTCCTGTTTCCAAATATGCACAACAGGTGGCACCTGCCGGTCCTCGCCTCCCACGCTTCTCCACCTGCCCCTCCACCTGTGCCCTAGTCCTCCAGCTGCGCCTCAACCTCTGGCTGAGCCTTACCTTTGAGGTTCTGGGGGTGGCCCCGCGGTGCTCGGCTCGGGTTTCCTCGGGGCAGCGAGGGGATGCTGGAGAAGTTGTTACCCATGGCATTCGGCCCCAGGGGGGTTCGGCACTCGCGGGGGGCAGGCAAGGCTGGACAGGAGCGGAGGTGCTGTATGAAAGTGGGTGCGCGCGCCGGTGCGCGCCGCCGGGGGAGGGCCCCGCCGGGGCTGCGGCCGCTCTGCTCCTCTCCGCCCTCTCTCTGGGCTTGGCGGTCCTCGGCGGGTCCTGCCCGCGCTGAGTGGCCTGGCTCGAACCGGCTACCTGCCTCCCATTGCCTGCGGCGGGGGCGGGGGCCGCAGGTGGGCCCCTGAGCTGGGGCCGGCAGCGCCCCCGGGTCCCCTCTTCCTCCCGCTGGAGCCCGGGTTCCGGCTGGCGGTGGGCGGCGCG